TGTGTGTGTGTGTGTGTGTGTGTGTGTGTGTATGTGTGTGTGTGAGTGTGTGTGTTTTAGTGGGCCCTTGAGGCCAGACAATCAAAGAACATTTAAGAAGATGACAGAGTTCACACACAAGAAGGGGAGAGGAGAGCCCAGGAAGTGGAGAGGTTTGCAGGTGTAATGTGTGTATGCTGCTTGTGGGCGAAATGCAAGCTCGTGGAAAATGCACCTTTTGAACAGATTGAATGTGATATCTATATGTGTTTTTTGGGGGGTGGGGTGGGGTGGAAATATCATAAAACAATTTATACACAATTTTATAACAGACAATAACAAAGAGAGCAACAACAGACATTCCACTACAAAGAAACAGAGAAAAGAGAGGATGAGGAGAGAGCATGAGAGGCAGCGAGCAAGAGAGAGGGACATTGTGAAGAATGGCTCTGAAAGAGTTTTTGTGGGGCCGTAACAAAGGCCCCTCAGAAAACACAGTGGCATAGGAATGTTAATTAATTAATGAGAAACTATTCAGGCTGCAGAGGATTGTGGAGAAGGAAAGAAAAAGATGAAGAGACGGACAAACAAGAGGGGCAAAGAAAGCCTTGAACTGAGAGCAAAGATTTTTATCTGCCAAGTCATATATTTCCAATAACTAATTATTCATTTATTCTTGATCCAGTATCTATGAATGATTCATTTTTAAAAGAGCTTGGAGGTCACAAATATGCACGTTGCAGCATGTGTACATTTGTATATACTGTATACATCATAATGCATAAGCATACATAAAATATGATATAATATTATTCAAAATATACTGCACAGTAATATTTAATATATAATAATTCCTCTGCTGCCAGAGGAAAGTCTCACGTTTTTGTTTCAGTGTTTTAAAAATGGCTTTCCTGAAACCAATTTATTGATTCTAACCTATCATGAAAGATATTAGAGTCTAGTGTAAAAATAAAGTCAGATTGGTTTTCTTTAAATCTCTAAACGGAAATCAGTTTTGTTCAGATTGCATTCCTTTTTAATCTGCATTACAAAGTATATAAAGGTGCTCTAATCTGACAAACCACACTATTGTCCTACAGTTAAAAAGTGTGGTTTAATTGCACATGAACACAAAATAAATTATACTGGATTGTACAAAAAATAATACTGTCAATAAAAGGAAAGAAGCATAAATACTCGTTTCCGTAAATGTTTTGAAGTAGTTGATTTAGGTCAGTTGATACAGATTTTCAACGTTTTTCAATGCTTAGCAAATACAGAAATGGTAAATGGTGGTAGTGAACTTATAGAGCACTTTTCAAGTCCCTCCAGACCCCAAAGCGCTTTACACTAACAGACATTCACCCATTCACACTCACATTCACACACTGATGATGGCAAACTACACTGTAGCCACAGCTGCCCTGGGGCACACTGACAGAGGTGAGGCTGCCATGCACCAGCGCCACCGGACCCTCTGACCACCATCAGTAGGCAAGGTGGGTGAAGTGACTTGCCTAAGGACATAACGACTGAGATGGCTGGACGGGGGATTGAACCAGCGACCTTCCGGTTCCAGGACGACTCCCCTAACCACTCCGCCGCAGTCCCCTGTCTAACAAGTTTTATTTACCGAAATAATAATAATCCAAGTTTGAGGATATCAAAAACTTAAATCCACAGTCCATTTTCTTACAAAATTGAAAAATCAGTTGCTTCTGCTTCTACAGAAAAAAAAAACTTTTGTTTAAATAAATGAAATGCACTCTTTGAGACTTACTGTTTTTCTCATGTGCCAAGTGGGATGCTTCATTTTATTCTCTGACCTTGACTGTTTAGAATAATTTATTCATATTGTGAAAAAAAATATTGATTTTATTTTTAAAAGTTTGGCAATTACATGAGAGAATGTCCTGATGCATCTCAGTAATCCAGGTAAAATATCAAAAAGAAAAAAATATAAGTCTTCTGGACGGGTTCTTCTCTAATGAAACGTTTCGTCTCTCCTCCAAGAGACTTCTTCAGTCTGAGAGTTTCAGGCAAAATTCAGGCTTTTAAGCTCTGCCTCCATGTGAATGATACTCACATCACATGGCTATCGTTGACACCTAATTAACACCTACTGTTAACAGGGGTTGGAGTGATACTGGCAATAGCCGCGCTGTAGGAGGGGGACAACTGAAAACGGAGGCCTCCACCTCTGTTTAATGATGGACGGTCTTTCTTCACAAAAATGGCTTCTTTTACTCCTCTCTCAAACCAACGTTCCTCTCTATCAAGAATGAGAACATCCTCATCTCTGAAAGAGTGACCGCTGGCCTGKAAATGAGTGAAAACTGCAGAGTTCTGGCCATTAGATGTAGCTCGTCTGTGCTGGGACATTCTTTTGAACAGTGGCTGCTTTGTTTCCCCGATGTATAACTGGTCGCAGTCCTCCTGGCACTTAACAGCATATACATGAGAGAACAACCTGTTATATGGAAATCTGCAGACTCTTCTTCCCAAAGCTACACATCTTCACAGACCTGAGTGAGAGCTTTGCCATGGATATCTGAGTGTTTTTGCACTGCTCACTCATAATCTGCTATTAATCAGAGCATTTGTGTGTTCATTCATGTGTGTGTTTCTGCATGTGTGAACGCAACATTCCAGCAGGGGAAACCTGAGAACGTGCGACTTACGAGATGCTGGATTCGGATCTTTCTGCGGACTGAAGGGTGCTGAAGTGTCAGAATTTCAATTTTCTCCAAACGGTCACTCCCAGCCACACACTCTGACCCTCGGCGGCTCCCTCATACTGCCAACACACTCTGCTGCCTTCGTTCTTGGTCCTGTGTGGCTTTGACTTTTATTGGTGTTCAGCTGTAAAATTTCACAAGGATCAGAGTTGTGTAAAACCAAAATACTGTGTCGCCACCACCTTCTTTTTAGCCTTTCCTAGTCTTTGAACTAATTACTCACCCCTCTCTACTCACATTAAGCTTCTAGGCATGGCAAAAAAAAGTGGGGGTGGGGGGATTGAGAATTGCGTGACCCTCCCACTTTCCGGAGATGCTCCAGCCCATCCCCAAATTGTTGGCCAATGAGGGTGGCTCATTCACAACTCATGCAGTCCTTCTACAATAGGTAAGGAGAGAGAGTCACACAGAGCAGGAGATATATATCAAAGACAGAAAGACAGAGTGGAGCAGAAACAGTGAATGTGTCTGAGGTGGACAGTAAAGGCCAGGGTGGAAGGGAAGACAGGGGAAGAAAAGGGCTAAGAAGTCACAACAAAGTGGAAACCCCTGAGAGTGAAACAGAGGCTGAGAGACAGGCAGATGAAGCGAGATGAAGAGCTTCTGACAGGATAGATTTACAGTGTGGACATCCTGACAGGGAGGGAAGGCAATAAAAGAAAAGAAGAACCCTTGGACAAAAGGAAGCTGTTTGTCACAGCTGTCTTGTAAGACATCACAGAGAGGAAATCCCACAGGTGTAGAGACAGGCAGGTGGACAGCCAGACATGCTGCTTTCCATTCTGTTTTTCTCCATCGCTGGAGGACTTTGGGGGTCCAACCCTGTGGTGTGGGGGTACGAACAAATCCAGGACAGACAGGGGCCAACGGTGCCCGCCTGCCCGTCTCCGTGCCAGTGTGAAGACGACGGCATCTTCATCATGGTGGACTGCTCAGAGATGGGACTATCATCTGTGCCTGCCAACCTCAGCCCTCTCACCACATACCTGTAAGTAACCTGTTACGGTCTTAAGAAGTTTTGGGTATTTTTTTCATGTCTTCTTTTACTAAAACCACCCCATTTTTGTGCTTCTCACTGAGCATTTTCTATACGGAATTAAATAATGTCTTGTGTTTCCAACATGAATCATCCCATTTAACTTCAAACCTCCTTTCTTTCATTATATTTGTCATTGGTGCATACTAATTAGATTTGTTTTTTCCCTTTTAAATTAATTAATAATGCTTAATTTTAGTTGGTTTTTCATCATATTAAAAAAAAAACAAGAGCAGTAGGCAACTGTTGGTTGTACGTGGGACCTACAATCACTGGCATTAACCTAATTTAGACAAAAAGAGGCAAACAGCAGGACCATGTGTATGCAGGAGAGTGACAGTGTGTGTGTGTGNGTCACACTGTAAACATCATTTTTCAGAGACAGAAATTAGAGAAACTGTATGTGATAGAGGGGGAGGAGAATTCGAGGGGGGACAAGCTAAAATAAGACAAGTGAAGAGAAAAGAAAAACAGTGAGTGTATGTGTGTGTGTGTGTGTGTGTGTGTGTGTGTGTGTGTGTGTGTGTGTGTGTGTGTGTGTGTTCCATGCTGGCCACTACAGCTAAATAGCTGGACCACTTTCAGTGTCAGGTTTCCCAGCACCAACTGGACGATGAGAGCATGTGTGTGCCTGCGCACTTGTGCAGGGTACGGCCATACGTATGTGTGTGCTAGTATGTACGAATGTTGGTGCTTATGTGTTCAAGCATTAGTAAAGAGTTTTATGTGTTAACAAGATGGTTGTACACAGATGTTTAAAAACCTACATGCTTTCTGTGTCACAGTAGTCTGATGCTCTGACCTATAATCTGCTTTTCAACAATTTTTTGCAAAATCTAAAAGAAAGTTAAGATAATTTTTGAAAGACTTGCTAAAAATACATCTACAAACTAGCAGCCTCTTGGCTTAATAAGAGAAGAAAATGGTCTATAAAAGTTTGGAGCTGTTTTTTACACTCAGCTGTGACTTAAAGGCGAATCTGTCAAGTTGTCTTGGTGTGTAAGCCATCACAGGACAGATTGCAGATACTTTGTGATACCTGATACTTAAGTGATGGAAGTCAAATTCACAAAACAGAATGTAATGGAACAGTTTTTCAGGGGCTCTGCAAGTACATCAAGAGCAGGGGGTCCAAATTAGGAAAGAACAGCAGTTTGTGTAACAAATGACTTTATAAGTGACACAAAAAAGAATTCGACTCGAGCGACGCCTGGCGCTTTGGTCATCTTGGAAGGCTGTGACAGCCAAATCTCACTGTGTTCATTTGAAAGTAAAAACACATGTAGAGTTTATGGGGGTGAAAAATGGTCCAAAACCTCATCCAGGAATACTTCGGCATATGCAAGCATCAGACTTTTGGCCCAAGTAGAAGAAGCACGTCTAAATCTGTGCACACTCAGAGAAGGATGACTCCTATAGGTAGCCATCTTCGAATTAAAAAACAATGGTGACCCTAGACTCTCGCAGTGGAAAGCCACACTGCTCTAAAGTCCTGCTCCGTTACAGCCACACACACTAACCCTAATCACTCCCTGCAAACACGAGCTTAATTGTTCATTTCCCCTGATTACCTAACGCTGGAACTGACCAATTAGTGAGTTTGAGGGTTGATTTAGAATAAGATAAATAAACTCAGCGACCAACCGCACATGCACACACACACACACACACACACACACACACACACACACACACACACAAATTAAACACTGCCTAAGGAGGAGACAGGAAAGGAATGCAGGAAAGATGCTGCAACAAATATAGACACAAAAATCGCAGATTTTGCTTTCAACTTGTTGATAAAATGATCAAAGACAAACAAAACAATATCTCCTTCCTGACTTTTCCCACATACACATACACACAAATATATGCATATATACAGTATATATTATGACCCAGAACAGGACTGCAACCTCCACAGCAGGCTACAGTTTCTTGTTTCGTCCCGGAGTATAAAAGGTTACGACAGTGGTGAGCCACTCCAGTCCTCACCAGGATCGGTGGAACGTGTCCAACACCCMACTGGGCTGTTTTAAGCTGGATTAGCCTCCAAGCACAAAGTCCAAACAGTGCCGAGGTCACAGGGATTTTCTTGGGAACAGTCTACTTTACAAACTACATCACCACAAATCTGTGTAAAGTGTATGACATCATTCACTCATGTCACCAGAGAGGTCTTCAAAGTGAGCCGAAAGGTTCAGGCTACAAAGACCAAGAAGGGCAGTCCGGGCTGAGCCTGATCCAGTGTACCACAAAGTTTTGCACACTTTGAAAACCACACTGGAAACAGGTAAAAAATAAATAAATAACATTTGTATCAGCAAAAACAATTTGATCATAGCACCAAGGCAAAACCACTTGAACTTGGCAAAGGAATTCAATCACTGAGAGGCAAAGGTGCTTTGAGCAACTCGGAGAGGAGCGCTTAAAGATTTATGACAATAATAATTTCCGTGGGCAACACATGAAATGAGCTGTCATGTGAGATGCTTTGAAAGACCTTCTCTTTGATATCAGATTAGGAAGGAAAGACAGCGCCCAAGGGTGTACGACTATGTGAATGTGCATGGATGTGTGATGAGTCTGAGAACACAGAGTACAGTGAAATGGTTTGGGGGGGAATCTGGGCTGTTTTATGTGCAGCTGAAGGCAAGGCAGCTTGAGAAAAAGGATTTACAATGATTCACTAAGTAGCTTGTATGTCAAAAATGTAAAGTGATACCAAATAAATTAGTCAGCTGTCCTTATGTTAGATTTACAGTACAGGAATGTGTGAATGTTTTACACAAACAGGATTTTGGGATAATTTGCTTCCAAGAAGGTAATGATTCTTAGAATTTTAAAAAAGGGTGATAATTCAATAACAATATACTGCGAGAGCAATAGACCCGTGAGCAATATCAATGGCAATTCGTCCTATAGAATGTTGATTTCACAGAACCCTGATCCACAACAGCCCAGCTAAGCAAGGTTGGTGGCATCAACTAGCTCACTCACTCTTTGGTAAGCTAGCAACAACCTACTGAGTAACACATGCAGTAGCAATTTCATGTTTCACCCTTGTGCCTCGTAACTGCTTAAAAATAAAAAAGAACGACGTAGTGTGAAAGGAGAAAATGAACCAACAGCTCGAGAGAAAATGTGGATAAAAGAGAAAAGGTCACATCAACAATTTGGCAATATTAATTAGCCTTTTTTCTCTTGGTAGGTAAAACTAAAAACTAATCAATAATTATCATTATCAGCTGATATAAAACAATTATATTGTGATGCATTTTTAAGCCATATCGCCAACCCTAGTTCTAATCAATAGTTTGTTTTTTCTTTAAGCTTTAGCTGCTTTCATTTTTTTACTCAATTCAGTCCAGCCCTTGTACCTGATTAAGATAATGTGTGARGGAGACAAGGAAAAGGCCTAACAAAAAAAAATTAGAGCAGCTGAACCAGATGAAAGCCACGTCTTTAAGAAACTGAGGAAAAAAAGTCAAGTAAAACCTGACTCGGGGCCTGAGGGATGCATCACCCTTCAGTTTATCCTCTACTGTATATCAAGTTTTCAGCTAAAATAACTTTTTAGGAATCACTTTATTGGTGTTAAGTTGCTTTATATGCACATCAAACTGTGCTATTTTTGGTAATTTTAGAGATTAAACAAAATAAATTAAAAAAGTGTCTCCTTGCGAGAAGCTGTGGATAAAGTGATCCAATTTAAAACTGGTTCTTTAAGTTTTCTGTGTGTTGACACAATGCTGCTGACTGAGTCTTTCTGGCTGGCTGATTCATAGATCAGGGTTAGGTAGCTTTATAAATGACAACAAATGCTTTTCTTTAAAAATCATCAAATACTGAACTGAAAAGGAGTGGAAAAAGCAGCCAAAGTTAAATAAAGAGAAAGTTAAATTTTCCACCCACAAGACCTCTTTCAGAGGTTTCTTAAAACCAAAATGTAAAGAAATAAAAGAGAAAAAAACTTCTTTTTTTAACAGAACTGTGAAAAATAAATATTTAAATATATAATTTATATTATGTATGCTCATTATCTGGCTGGTAAAACATCCTGTATAAACTTCTCAGTTTCTAAGCTTGTAGGGAGTTCATGTTTACATGTTTCACACTTCACCCCCGAGTGTGTGCTGAATATAGAAAACAGAAAAACAAAAAAACTAAAATGAGTGTGGGTCTGGGAATGGGTTGAGAGTGATACTGAGCGGCATTTAGGTGATGCTTTGTGGTAGTGGTGAGTGTGGTGAACTTCTAACAGTGTTTTGGCCAAGGCCAGGAAACCACAGCGAGAGCATTACCAGACAGAGGAAAACCAAGAAGAGTGTGAGCACGTGTGCGTACAGTGCATGTGTGTAAAGACCACCCACAATGCAATGTCGGGTTTTTTTCTCATTTTTCTAGTCAGTGGAGGTGAAACATGATTGTAAGAACRATGGAAGGAAAAGGGGAGAAAAGATCATGTGAAATTGGTGACACCGAAACGTGAGATTTTGAATTGTTTGGTACACACACACACACACACACACACACACACACACAC